TCCAGCATGGAACCAAAAGCAAATGTCAGTCTCAGGGTGAAAGGCAAGATCATGACCTGAACTGAAATCAAGTGTCAAGTGGCTAACCAACTGAGCCACCCAGGTGGCCTCAACTTTGTTCCCTTTTTTATACATGAGTAATATTACAGCAATCCACTGATGGACATTTGGGTTATTTTGTTGCTTAGGGTGTTTTGTATATGCCTACTAATCTATTTGCTTATAGTGTTGTTTACATCTCCCATGTCTGTATTAATCTTTTATCTAATGTTCTGTGTATTATTGAAAGTGTGGTATTAAGTCTCGAATAATTATTTTCAAATATTTTCTCACGTAAATTCTGTCAGCATTTGTTTCATTTTATTTTGTGGCCCTTTAGTTTGGTATCTATATGTTTAGGATTATTTTATTTTCCTGATGAATGGACCATTTCATCAATGTAAATATCCTTTGGTCTCTTGTAAGTTTTTTACTTACAGTTGAATATATATGTGTGTATGCATCTATATGTGTGTATGTACTTACATTTATGTATCTATGTATTTATATCTATCTATCTATCTATCTATCTATCTATCTATCTATCTATCTATCTACACATTATATATGCATATGTATGTGTATGTATATAACTGCATATATGTTCCAATTCACAGACTCTTAACAATATAAAAAAAATAAGAAATATAAAAAATAAAAAGTAATCTCGATAACAAAGAACTTGATGGGGCGCCTGGGTGGCTCAGTCAGTTAAGCGTCCGACTTCGGCTCAGGTCATGATCTCACGGTCCGTGAGTTCGAGCCCTGCGTCGGGCTCTGTGCTGACAGCTCATAGCCTGGAGCCTGTTTCACATTCTGTGTCTCCCTCTCTCTCTGCCCCTCCCCTGTTCATGCTCTGTCTCTCTCTGTCTCAAAAATAAATAAACGTTAAAAAAAGGAACTTGAATAGATATTTCTTGAGAGAAGTTATTCAGATGGTCCACAAACACATGAGAGAATGCTCATCATCATTGGTCTTCAAATGTACCTGAGTCAGAATTACAGTGAGATTCCACATTACTCCCAGATGGCTTGAATCGACAAATCAGATACAAAGAGGTTTTTAAAAGAAATATGAATCCTGTGCGTTTCTGGTGTGAATATGTAGTATTGCAGCACCTGTGCAAAATAGTTTGAGATTTCTCAGTTAAACTCAGAGTGACCATTTGACTCAGCTATTCTCATTAACCATTAAAGAGAAAATAATATATGTCCACTGAAGCTTGTCACAAGAATTTCTTGCAGAATTATTTACAGTAGCCAAAATGGAAATAACCCAGATGTCCATCATTGGATAAATGGATAAGTAAATTGTATTGTACTCATACAATGAAATATTACTCCTATATATAAAAGAAACAAAGTACCAATACATCCTTCAGTAAGAATTACCCTTCATTATGTATAAAAAGCATTATTTATGTGTATACAAGTATTTTGTGTATAAAACCTTATGCTAAGTGACAGAAGGCAGACATAACAGGTCAGTTATAGTATAGTTCTTTCCATATTATATTTGAAAAGTCATAAAATCCATACTTAAGAAGAGTAGTGGTAACCACATCACGAGTGAATGGGAAATGATGAATGATTACTTAATGTGCACAGGGTGTTTTCTTGAGTGGCAAAAATGTTTTGAAACGAGAGAGAAATAGTGGTTGCACAACATTTTGAGTATGCTTAAATGCTTCCAAGTGTATATTTAAAATTTCTAAACCATTTTAACTTTTTTTTTTCAACGTTTATTTATTTTTGGGACAGAGAGAGACAGAGCATGAACGGGGGAGGGGCAGAGAGAGAGGGAGACACAGAATCGGAAACAGGCTCCAGGCTCTGAGCCATCAGCCCAGAGCCCGACGCGGGGCTCGAACTCACGGACCGCGAGATCGTGACCTGGCTGAAGTCGGACGCTTAACGACTGCGCCACCCAGGCGCCCCATAAACCATTTTAAAATTGTTAGTTTTGTATTTTGTGATTCCACTTCAATAAAAAATGTATGTATGAATGGTAGAAGATAAACTAAGATAGTTTTATTAGACATAGTGTATTTAAAGCTTTACTGGTAAAACAGGAGTTGAGATCAATCTTAGAAATGAGAAGTATGAAATGAGCATTTAAGAAAATGTAATGATGAAGCACACACAGAAAACGAAGTAGTAAAAACAAAGAAAATACTGACAAATTAAAAGTAAGCAACTCTTGCTTTGAGAATTTGGAAGGCTTTATTTGGAATTTGGAACCCAGAAGGCAATTCGAAAGATTATATACTCCTGGAAACTCAGATGATTTGGAGGATCACTGTTGAAGGTTTAGGATATGAATGAAAAAGATTTGCAGTTAGAAGTTCAAAAAAAATTTTTTTTTTTTTTTTATAGAATATACTTATACAACTAACTTGTTTAAAAGAACTGCTCAAACCATAGCACAATGCTTTCCTGTTAATAGCTTTTCTGGCTAAAAGGACTCTAAAATTGAGGATGACTTAATACAAACTTAAATCCAAAAAGTTTAGTATATAAAAGGTTTCCAATAGAAGCAAAAGTGAATTATGTATCGTTTCTGTTACTGTTCTGTTTTTACAAAAAGTCATCTTCTGAAACCTTTAATTTTCATAACAGTTTAATTATTATTGAAATTTTACGTATTGTCATTTTATCTTTTAATTATTTTCATTAGATAGAGGAACGTACCATCACCACACAGAGAGTTTTCCAAGATCGACAGTATCAGATTGATGCTGCAATTGTTCGCATTATGAAGATAAGGAAAACACTGACCCACAGTGTACTTCTCTCAGAATTGTATAAGCAGCTAAAATTTACACTACAGGTAAACACATCTACCAAAAATCCAGTGGCGTTGAGTACTTTTGAATAAAACCATAGGTTTATAACGTAATTTCAAGTAAAAATGTATCTGTGATATGGAGTAAAAATTGTGAGTGTGATTATCACAGGACTTAGGTCCCTTTTTGTGTTATGGTTTACTGTATTAGGTTATTAAATTTTATCAATTTTATAAGTAAAAAGTTGTAACATTTTGAAAGGTAACACAAAAAAAATAGAAAAAGAAATTAGTCTCATGATCTATTTTAAGTATTTTCACTGTACCTCCATGGTTTAGATTCACTTCCTTGATGTATCTTCTTGATGAAATACAGTTAGAAGTTGCCTTTATTTGCACTGCTTATCAGCAAATACTTCAGAATTCCTAGCAGAGTGGCCTTTGGTCTTACTATGATAGTCCTTTCTCTGTTTTTACATCTTATAACGGTTGATCTTTGTGACATTATTACATACTACAACCTAACAAATTATTAACAATATGTGGCAAATTACCGCTTACTTAACCATTTTCAAAAAGTCTTTTTAAAGACAATATGTAGCTATTTTGTCTGATTCTTATAGGTTAGACATTCTAATAAATTTTTTCTGCCATAATTATTAAAAATGTCAAGCTATTGGGAGGGAGGAGAGGGTGGGTGATGGGTATTGAGGAGGGCACCTTTTGGGATGAGCACTGGGTGTTGTATGGAAACCAATTTGACAATAAATTTCATATATAAAAAAAATTAAAAAATAAAATGTCAAGCTATTGGTTCGTATGTCATCATAAAATAAAATGAAAATTGTAGTTTTGTGTACCCTAAGTAATCAAAATAGAATTGCTACAAACACTTCGATTTCTAGTCTAATGTTTATGGCTTGGTTCACAAAGGCTGTCAGCTGTGATTTTTTTCAATCCTGCTTCGTCTCCTGTCTTTCTCATTTTCTGACTCTTGTCAACTTTACATAACGTGTGTATCTCCACTTCCTCACGGAGGGTGATAATATTAACGACTTACTCAAATGTTACTAAGACAAAAGAGTTTCCTGAAGCATATAGTAAGTGCTAAGGAATTATTAGCTGTAGCTGCTACTTTATCAATGTTGTACTCTTGATTTTTTAAATTTAAAAGCTGTTTTTTCCCTTGAGGAAAAAAAAAAAAACTCTTCGAGTTCTCTGCAGTGCTCTACACATGGCTCAACTGGGGTGCTTATTATTTAGTAAATTATAGAATTACTTTCTTTAATGTGATTTCTAGTGAGTTCAATCCGTACACCATAACTAACCATGTGCATAATAGAAACATCAGTGCCTAAGGTATTGGCTGTCTTCTATATTTTAGAGCCTTCCTTATGTGGCATAGTTCATGAGTATAACTTCTTTTTATTGAAGAAATTGAAAGTATGATTTTTTTTTACCAAGATGCATCCCAGATGCATTTTATTCTATTCTTTATGTATTAGTTGTACTTTATTCCTAGTTAGCACCTTTCTAATGTATTTCAGATTTGATTATAGTAATATTTTAGTTAAGAAATTTATGGTTTCCTGAAAATTACACATAATGAAAATATGAGATACAAAATGTGATGTATTTGGGGTGAGAGTAGAAAATAAAATGCTGTGATTTCATTTTTGTTAACATTAATAATTTATTTTGTAGCCTTCTGATCTGAAGACGAGAGTAGAATCTTTAATTGACAGAGACTACATGGAAAGAGATAAAGAAAATCCAAACGAGTACAAGTATATTGCATGAACTTCTGGCCTTACTATTTCTACTTATAGTAGTTGACTCATAGTCGTGTTAATTGATTCAAATATTCCACTGACACATGAATAAAAGCGGTGCATTAAAATACAAATGCAGAATTAAATTTTCATCAGCATTCTCAGTTAACGTATGCCGTTATCTGAATGACATGTATTTTTAATGTTGCTATTAAACTATACGTAATGATCTAAAACTCCCTGGAAAATTTCGTAATGTTTCGTATACTGTCTGTCCTTCATTTCAGTATATATTGATGACATGTAGTATGCATTAGTTTAATAAAGAATAAGTTTCATAAAAAGCAACATATATCCGTAACTGTTTAAGTGTAAACTCGCACTGTGAATTATACATCTGGATGATTTAAACTCTATTTGAAATTAAGTATTAAAGCCATTTATTTGTCCTTATATTGGTTTTGCTGTGTATTTGTCCTTATGTTGGTTTTTCGGTGTGAAATTAATCATATAACAATTTAATTTTAACATGTGTAAACCACGTTAAAATTTAACCTATAATAGAACAATCATTTTAGACATCTTTAGACATCTTAAAACATTTAGTTCAGCCATATAAATTTTTGTAGTGTTTATTTTTGAGAGAGAGAGAGAGAGAGAGAGAGAGAGAGAGAGAGAGAGAGAGAAAGAGAGCGTGAGTGGGGATGGGCAGAGAGAGAGGGAGACACAGAATCAGAAGCAAGCTCCAGGCTCTGAGCTATCAGCACAACCATGATGAGGGGCTTAAACCCATGAACCCTGAGATCATGACCTGAGGTGAAGTCTGGCACTTAACCACCTGAGCCACTGAGATGCCCCAATGTCAGCTATATATTTAAACTTGTACTAAATATATATGTGTGTGTATATATATATACACGTGTGTGTGTGTGTATTTGTACTAAAATATAATATTAAATTTGTCATTTTAATGACATTGTCTTTCATTTACAGTTTTTGGCTTGTAGTCTGTTTTGTCTGACAGTAGTAGTAGTGTCCCTGCTAGTTTCTAGTACATGTTTGCATGTAACATGTGTTGTATCCTTTTATTTTAGCTTGTGTGTGTCCTAAGGTAAAACATGAGTTTCTTATGGGTAATATGTAGTTGGAGACTTTTATTTAGGGAAATTTAAGTAATATACATTTAATTAATTACAGGTATAAAATGGCTATTGCTGTTTTCTTAATGATTTTCTGTCTTGCAGCTTGTTGTCCTTTCGCACCTTTTTTTGCCTTCCCTCATGTTTCACGTATATTTTTGTAGTTACGTGATTTCATTCCCTTCTCATTTCTTTTTCATATTCTTTAGAGGTTGCCTTTTTGGTTACCGTTGCCATTATATGAAAAATCTTAAAATTAGTTTATTTTAACTGATACAAGTTTACCTTCAAACACATGTAAAATATACTCTTTCACGTTTCTGACTTATATACTTTTTATTACTTCTGTATTCACTGTGTATTTTACATGGATCCATTAGAGTCACCTGGGTGGCTCCATCAGTTAAGCATCCAACTGTTGATTTTGGCTCAAGTCATAGCCTCATGGTTCATGATTTTGAGTCCCACATCTGGCTCTATGCTGACAGTATGGAGCCTCCTTGGGATTCTGTCTCTTTCCCTCTCTCTCTCTCTGCACTTCCCCCACTTACTTTCTCTGTCTCTCTCAAAAATAAATAAAAAAAAATTATAAATACAGATCCATTAATCTAAATTTTTAATTGCGTTATGCTTTTGTTTTTTAAAGTTCTGTATTAGACTAACGTGGTTTACCCTTACGTTATAATATTCTGTAAGTTTAACTTAACCTGGAAGAAATTTGAAGAACTGCCATCATCATTTTGTAGTTCATGTCAGGCGGTGAATGATGTCAGCTTTTTATCTGGAAGTGTATTAACTTCTCCTGAATTTCAGAGAATTATTTTGCCAGAGATAAAGTTCTTAGTTGTTAGCATTTTTCTTTCAACACCATAATGTATCATCTCACACCCTCTAAACTACATGGTCTCTGTTGAACATTCTATGAATACTTTAACAGTAGTACACCTGTGGGGCGCCTGGGTGACTCAGTTCATTGAGAATCCAAATTCAGCTCAGGTCATGATTTCGTGATTCTTGAATGCGAGCCTCACGTTGGGCTCTGTGATGACAGTTTGGAGTCTGGATGTGCTTCAGATTCCGTGTTTCCCTCTCTCTGCCCCTTCCCTGCTCATGCTCTGTCTCTCTTCTGTGTGCACATTAAAAAAAAAAAAAAAGGAATACACTTGTATATGACAGGTTGCCTTTCTCTTCAGCCTTGGAGATACGATCTTTCTTTTTTCGTGTGTCTTTGACAGTTGGCTCATGATAAATATCTGTTTAGATAGGTGTTAGGGATTTATCCTGGTTGGAGTTCAGTGAAATTTTTAATTTTATGTTAATTTTTCTAATGTTTGGGGATTTCTTGGCATTTCTTCAAACCTTCCAACACCCACATTCTTCTTTGTGACTTTCATAATACATATTTTGTTCTGCTTGATTGTGTCCCATTAGTCCTTTGGATATACTTCCCCTTTCTTTCCTTCTTTCCTTCTTTCCTTCTTTCCTTCTTTCCTTCTTTCCGTCTTTTCCTTCCTTCCTTCCTTCCTTCCTTCCTTCCTTCCTTCCTTCCTTC